CTTAACGACTGAGCCACCCAGGCGCCTAGATCTTGTTTTTTATTTGTCTGATGATCTCTGTCTTTTGATTGAATGCTTGGACTATTTACATTTAATATAACTAGTGATTTGGTTGGATTTATATTTGTCTTTTGATATTTGTTTTTTATATGTCTCCTGTTTTTTGGTTCCTTTATTCCTTCCTGACTGCATGTTTCAGTGTTATCATTTAAAAACTTCTGTTAATTTTTTTTACATTTTTGGAGTCATTTTCTTAGTGCTTGCTCTATGTTATATGCATCTGAATTTATCACAATCTTCAGATTAATACTAACCTAATTCCAATAAAATATAGAAACTTTGCTCTAATACAGCTCCATCCCATTTTCTACCCTTTGTGCTATTATCATATATATTGCACCTCTTTTTGTGTCAACTCAAAAATATGGCTTTATAATTGTACATTTATATAATATTATGTCTTTCAGAAATGCTAACAAAAGAAATAAGAGAAAACGTATTTACTGTCTATTTTGTATTAAGCCACATACTTAACTATTTCTACTGTTCTTCATTTCTTCCTATGGATACAAGTTATCTCCCGTTTTGATTTCATTTCGGCCTGAAGGACTTACTTTAATATTTATAGTAAGGCAGGTTAGCTGGCAACTTTGGATTTTAATTTTCTCCCCTGAAGATTTTTGTTGGTTCTTTTGTTGTTGCGGTTTTGTTTTTCTTAAGTCAGTTTTTTTGTTTAATATCTTGGCTGAGCTATCTCTGGGAAATCTGTCTTCCCCACAGTGTGTGACTGCTGATGTCTCTGTTCAGTTTTGTTGCTGTTGTTGTTGTCATTGTTTTAAAGTTATTGCTTTTCTTTTTCTTTTTTTTATTTATTTAAATTCAATTAGCCAACATATAGTACATCATTATTTTTTTATGTAGTGTTCAATGATTCATTAGCTGTGTGTTCTTGCTTTTAATTTTAAGCCTGGCTTCCTAAGCTTCATCTGTGTATAGCTCAGTGGTCTGCAAATATTCGGACAGAGGATGTGCTCAAACACCTTGAACCAGTACTTCTGTCTTTTTGCCAATAGGTCTGTGTGTGGGTAAGGGAATGCATTCAATGCTCAGGACGCTGATGTGTCTTCTGCATGTATGTACAGTCTCAGGGTTAGCTAGAAGGCTGTGGCTAGCTTGGACCTTTTCCCATCCCTGTTGGGAATACACATAGTCTCAATCATGAACACACCTGCCCTGACCATGATTGAGCTTCAAGCTAGCTGCATCACAGATTATCACTTTCACCTACAATACTGCTCCAAATCGAGTGAGCCACCTTCCACTGCAGCATAGAAGTTGTTGATCTTCATGGTGTGCCCTGCTTTTGAGGACTTCTATGTAGACAGAGTTGGGTAGACAGTAGAAGCACCAGGTCAGAATGCCACAGATGCCCACTGTTCTTACCTGGGTCTTATCTGCAACCACACTCTGCTGAGAAGACAGAAGTTCATCAGTTTCTTAAGCACAAATGCTTCTCAGATTGTTATATTCATTTGGTCAATTTTTCAGAGCATCCAAATGGTTGTTTTTGTCAATTTTGTCCATCTTTATAGTTGCTTTTTGGGGAAAGAATTTGCCAGTCTCTTCACTTGGCCATGACTGAAAGTCCTGCTTTACCTTGCTTCTTTGAGTCTAATTTTATTAGTCTGAAACATGGTCATTCATGTTTCTGAAACTATTTTATGGGGTTATTGTGAGAATCATGTAAGGCAATGCATGATAAATGCTTGGTATAAAGTAAGCCCTTGATAAGCATTAACAGGGTCATTATACACAGTTGGGTGATTTGTACCCTGCACAAATGTGTTGAGTGAGTGGACAAGTGGGGCTGAAATTCAGCTCATGTTCTCTTCTCAAGCTATGAGTTCTACCACTCACTGCATCTATCCAGAGGAGGCATCTTTTCCTAATTCCTTCACCCAGAGAAGGCAAGTTTTTTTCTAACTCACCCAGAAATGCCATATAGTCTAGCTGGTCCCTGAAAATTGATTCCTGTTGCCTTTCCTTCCCTCAATTCTAGACCTTCTAAGTGAAGGCCAAGTCCTTTATCTTGAGCTGGCCCAATAAATAATTCTCACAAAAAAGCTCCTTATCAATCTCATGTCCTTTGGTTGTTTCCCCTTTATTTTCACATTATTTTTTTCATTCCCCTTTTCAGATTAAATGGGCTCAGTGACTTTACTCATGCATTTATGGAAGCATGAATTAAAAATAAGTTGTGGGCTGCTGCTGCTGCTAGTGGGGATGTTGGGAAGAGTACTGCTAATTAGATTTCTTGCAGAAACTCAATTTCTGAATCCCTCTGAAAGACCCAGGACTCCTTCAGGATCCTTCTTTCACTCCATCTAGGCATCTAGTTTCCTTATGAAGGACACTGATTTCTTGTCTTGCCTTTCACCCCAGGGATAAAGAAGCCAATGGACTCAGCTTATTTTTCTAGTATGTGGGGCTTTTATTTTATTTATTTCCTCATGGAGCAGAGGACCTCAAGAATTTGTCTAACTTTCTTGTTTCTCTAGCAAGCAATGCTTCTCAAATTTGTCCTTACGTGTGTGTCATGCAAAAGGCCAACATGTCTGGATCTGTCTTTATTGGTAGGTGAAGACTGCTTCTGGTCCATGTGCCAGCCAAGCCTGCTGATCCTGCCTATTCTGCTTCCAGAGTTGTAGATGATAGGAAGGGTGCATTTAGCTTTTGAGAAGAAAGAGAGGGTGAGAACAGAAGAGGAATAGAAGACACAGGGATAGGAGAGAAAGGGGAAAGCAAGAGACAAAAAATAAGAGAAAGAAATGAAGCATTCGTGTGAGAGCTGGACAGTTGTGAGTGACCTCTGGAGAGTTGCCAAGTCAAAAGAATTGAGACTCTGACCTTCTCCAAAATCCTCATTTTGAAAGCATTAATTATTTGGATTGCCCTTTTTAAAAAAAAAATTCTCAATGTTCTTGATCTAACTTATAGTTAGACTCTAAATAGGGTATAATCTGTGTTAAGAGCTTGGACATGGGAGGGATAGCAGCAATTGCACTGAGCTCTCTCACACTCAGCTCCCCAAGTACACATGGCTATGGAATGGATATCTTTTGGGTATAAACACATCATGTTAATAAATGAAGAAAAAAGAATTCTTAGGAGAGGGGGAGTATATAATCCAATGAATGATATCTTTTTGTTGTTTTTGCTGTTATTTTTATTATTATTATTATTATTATTATTATTTTCAGGGGTAGAATTTAGTGACTCCTCAGTTGCATATAACATCCAGTGCTCATTACATCAAGTGCCCTCCTTAATGACCATCACCCAGTTACCCCCACCCCCCCCCCATCCAGCAACCCTCAGTTTGTTT